GACTGCCTCAAGATCCTGCTTCAATGAGGAAGGAAAAATTACAGTGGTAAGTCAGGAGTTCCCAGTTCCAACTCTAAACATCCTTCAGTCACACCCCAGAAGGTGGAAGAGTCTGTGGAATGAAAGGGAAGTGTGGAGATTTATGGCCAGGGAGGCATTACAAATATCACAGTGCTCTCTTTAAGCAATTGGTCTCCAAGCTAATGGGAAGACATTATTATATTATAATAATTATATATTTTATATATATATATATATATTATAATATTATATATTATTACTGTATGGCTGGGCACTGCTTCTACATGCAATATGTATATAAATCAATGTATATGTCTATTCCAGCAAATGTGGAGTTAATCAATATGAACCATACCCACTTCAGCTCTGGTTGAATGAAAAACAGGGCTATATGGCAGTCTGCTCCCTAGCACAACAGAATGAAACAAAACATTCATACCAAAGCCAGAAACCTGATGAGGCATTTTGCTAATTGCTGCAGATGAGCACAGACAAAAATCTAATGTGTAGAAAAGGGGGGCAAACTGGCACAAAAGAAAGGGAGGGAAATGAAGCAGTGTAAATGAACACAAGGAGTGAGGCTGCTCCACCACAGGCAAGTGGTGAAGGAGAACCTGAAGTCTGATGTGTGCTTGTCTGTGTGCAGAATAGGCTGAACCCTGGAGGTGGATTATGACTTGCATAAATACCTATGACTTATCCAAATGAATGGAGTGGCCTGTGCAGCTGAGCCATCACCCCAGCTCCCTGTAATTAACATGGGAGCCTATTATTTTTTCCACATTACTGGGAAAAGAGATGAGTACAGGTGCCTGCAACTAAGAGGCAAATTCCTACAAAGTACAGCATATTTTCAGAGATTTCTCACCTCCAGGCGAGATACCTTCTAAGGCATCGCAAATCTCTGCTCAGGGGCTCGCACTGATTTTTCCAGCCAGTTCTGAACCTGCTCAAATCCTAGCTACCCTCCACAATAAGACTGAATTCAGCTCAGGGAGAGTGGGTATCCTGGGCCTTCCTTCTCCCAGGAGCACTGGAGCCAGGAATGAGAGCAGAGTATCTGTTCCACACAGCTCTGGCTCTGAGCTAGACCCAAACAGCTGTGCTGGTACTGACCAGCAGAAAAGTGACCAATTCTGATGATATTTCCCCAGAAAACTGGCTGCAAAGAGCAGCCTCGTGGAGGACTCTGCTGCTGAGGCTCTCTCTGACAAACATCTCTGAGTGAATGCAATGCACCCTTGCAGGCATCTTCACAATTCTGGGGAAATCTGGGTGGAAATTCTGGGCAGAGGTGATGGGTAGAAAGTGCTTCGCTGGGAAAAGCTCTGCCAAGGAACTCCCTGGCAGAATCTGGTGGATTTAAGAGTAGACTCAAGAGCACAGCTGCTTTTCATGAAGAAGAACTGTCTGTGACAGAGGCACGGGTTCCACAGCCCAGCTGTCCCTGGGGGTGCAGAGCCGGGGTTGAACAGGAGCAAGGTTTGTCCCACATCCTCTCCACAGCCCAGCTGAGCCAAGTGGAGGGGTAACCACACCCAGGAGAGCTCCTACCGGGAATTTGGACGAGGTCAGACTGCCAGCAGGGGATAGGAGGCCAGCAGGAAAGGAAGAAATCGGGCGGGGAGGGTGTGACAGGGTGTGACAGGGCTGGTTAAAGCAAGGAGTGTAATTGGGCTCCTCTGCAGACTGAGTGGGCTGAGCCCTGAGGGACAGATTGTATCTCGTACACAGTTCCCATACCTTGCTAAAACCCGTAGGATGGAAAAGGACTCCTGTCCCTGCTCTAGAAAACAGGAGATACAGGCACAAAAGTCTGGATGATACCATCAAACCCAGTAGCTTTCACCTGCAGGCTTCCAGTCCAGAGTTTCCTATTCCACACATACACATCCCCATGCAAAGACAAAGGCTGAAATAAAAAAGTTAAAAGTCACAACTGCAATGTGAATAGTAAGTTGGATGAGGATTTTGTTTGTAAGACTCTGGGATCATCACAGAAACTGGGTATGCAGACAGTGAAATCTCTTTTTCATTTCTCCTCTGAGCAACAATCTCTGCTGGCCTGGAAACACATCATCAAACCGAATCCCTGATTAAAAAAGAGAGATTGTTTTTTTATACCTCCTAGATACAAGATGCTTAAGTTGTGAAGAAAATGATTTATCAGACTTCAGCTCCTTGTTTTCCTCAGTTCTTAGTTCTCCTGTGAGCATCTCTTGAATGGTGACATTTATTTGGCATGTCATTTCCCTCTGAAGCTCAGCCTGGCACAAGATCCTTTTGCATTAAGTGCTACACAATATAATTCAGCACAAGCAACTTGCTCCTGCAGGAAACCCTTGCCATTTGTTCACCCTTGACTGATATTTGCCAGGTAATTTCTCTACATAATCCTCCATCTACCCAACGTGTATTAGCTGCCCTTCAGAAGAAATTACTGTCTCGAATTTGAGCTGTTTTAATTGAATAAAACCAAAAAACAAAAAACCCAAAAGATTTCATGATATTTCTGTGGCCCTGAATACACAAGATAAGCTTTCAGAGTGGGATTTTCTGTGGGGTTATCTCTAAGGCTCCGTGCCGCTGATTCTGTGCTTCCTGACTTTTGTCTACCTGCAATAATCTCTTGACAGCAGAACTGGGAACTGCTTCTTGTCACTGCTTAACAACTCTGTCTTAAGGCAGGCATTGGAACTCAGCATAAGGTGAATTTTATGAATAAAATGAATAAAATTCCCTTCTGTAATAGTTTTCCTAGATGTGTCCACCCCCACCTGCTTCTCTATCAAAAAGGAAAGTTCCCAAGTGAATTATCTTTTGCTTTTCAAGCAAAAAGTTTGATACATATTTTTTCCAGTTGTCAAAAAAAAAAAGAAAAAAAAAAGAAAAGAAGAGTAATTGTCAAGCAACTGTTCTTATTTAACTGTTATAGCAGCAGAAACTGGCTGTTTGATGCTCTGGTTAGCATCCTTCTCTATTCCCTTGGGATTCTTAGATGGTCTCTGAACATCTGAATCACAAGAATACACCAAAACCAAATTATTTTCTTGGAAAAAAACTCTCTTGCAGTAGAGAGAGCTCCTATCATCCACTTCTAAGAGAGACAGATACCTACTCACATACTTCCTGAGACTTGTACTAAACTAAAAGTAATCTACAGAAGGAAAGGGAACTCATCCAAAGATACTGCCCAAGCTTCCCCTTTCCTGCAAAGCACAACTGATGGTGCAACTTGCAGTTAATAAGATTATTCCTGTTAATTCATTAAGGCAGAGATGGGATCATCCAGAGCAAAAGAGCTCCGAATAAACAAAGATTCAAACTAATAACTGTGTCAAATGAAAGAATAAATATTTCCCCATTCAGATGGTTCTCTTGACATCCAATTTATCTGGTTTATTGGGGACAGGAAGTACAACTGATGGGGCAGCGTGGGAGGTCTGCATTTCCACACTCAGCAAAATCCAGGGTTTTCACAAAGTGCAACGTGTCAGGTCTTGCCTGCTCCAACTGGTTCAAGGGAATTCGGGAGAACCTGGAATATATAACATGCCTAAAGAGGTCTTTTGCTGACAGCAGATGGGCTTGGGGTTAAAAAATGATCCCAAAACATCAAGAATGTCCTTTCCCATTAAAGAATTCCTACGATACTTTCAGGAAGAACTTGCTCTGGCTCTCCATCCCTGCCTACAGAAGGAGGTACACAATGCTTCACTGGGATTAGGCTGTAAACTCTCTGCAACAAGGACTATCCTAATTGTATGTCTGATACTTGTCACAGGCTGGTCCTTTCTCACACCTCACAGAGGAACGAGGAGTTTCTAACCAGAGAATCACACCTGCCACTCACCAGGGTGAACATTCCCAGCGTTCAGAGGCAGATTCCTCCCAGCCACATCTCACACATGGGATAGCTACAAACATTGGGAGCCAACTGATTGTCTCCTCTGCTGCCAGGCACTGTCTCCTCTCCTCCTGCATCAGTCTCCCTGCCCCAAACACAAAGCCCCAACCTTGCCCATGCCAGGGCTTTGCTCCTGCCAGGCCTATGACAGTCCCATGTCTCTCTGCTATCAACCAGATGTTGAAAATCTTCAAGGTCCCTTCCAAGCCAAACCATTCTATGGCTCTATCATTTGATTCAACTCAAAACTGACACTGTGAAAGAATAAAAAGCTCCCAATTGGATGAACTCTCTGCTCTGTAACTTCATGAACAAATATTCCCAGGGCTGGGACATGCTTCTGATGGTGGTAAGGACTCACTGATCAGTAAGAGTGCTTTAGAGCAGACCCAAGTGCATTTCTGCTCTGAGATGGACACTTCCTGACCCAAGGAGGTGGCTTCCAAGTGAGAACCAGCTTGTGCAAAGTTTCACCCATTTGACCCCAAACAGCTATTGACCCACCCAAGGAACTGCTATTTTTATTACAAGGGGCTCACATGCACCATCAGGTCCCAGGAGCCAAGCAAGTTATTACTCTTCAACTGAGCCTTAGCAGCGAGATAATTTAATATGCACATTTTGCCTGTGGCATGCAGAAGGTAAAAGTTCTCCCATTGACCAGTCTCATGTTTGCCACCTCACCTCTGTAATCACACTTGCAGCCTCTTCCCTCACTCATTTTACTGAGTAAGCTCTCCCCCAGCTGCCCTCTTCTCTCTCCTGGAGTTCATCCTGGAAATTTATATTGCTCTCTACCTAGCAGTATCCGAATAAATCTTGGTGAGACAGTTCTTTAAGGTTGTTTTCTAATTATAAAGCCAATTTGAAAAAAAAAAACAAAAACACATGAGCAAAAACAACCTCAGAGGAGCACACACATTTTATTTACAGCATGATGCATCCCAGGAAATCTCCACTGGAAACTACACGGAGCCAAATTTGTAAAAGTAACAAAACACATCAAATGAACACATCAGTCACTGAAATGAGAACTAAACCCCACAGACATATAAACAAACCAGTTACTTACAGTTTTGCTGTGGTTCTGGAGGGAATTTGAGACGGATAATGGCCAAGATTATGAAAACAACCACAGGCCAGGAAATTAAAACAAACGACCATACCTATAAAACAGCAATGAAAATATATCGGTTACATTTGTAGCACTGACGTTACCCAGAGCCTGTCTGGAATGTACAAGCAGTGCCCTAAGTGAGTTATAAGGTGCATTGTAAATCACACCTGTCTTGGCATGCATACAATTAAAATCCAAGCATTATCTATTCCGGAAGAAACACTACCGAAGATTTTAAGAGCAAATAACAAGGCTGAAAGCGGCACAAGGTTTCAGTTTGGCTGATAATTATGGGGGACAGTGTTTACCCAGCTTTGAGACACTGCTATGTCACAGTAAAGGCATGCTGGGAAACACCAGCCAAAAGATAAAGCAGCTGCAGCGTGAAAGCTTGGTTTCACTTTCAGTGAAATGATGGGTAACTAGGACTTTGACTGAACTATACCCCAAAATTCAAGTGTTTGACAAGCCTACAGTGTTTTTCCATTAAAAATTCAGCTGTTTTTCACAACCACTGGATCCTCATGGCAGAGCTGGAAGGAAGGATTTTCACAGTGGTCATTCACAAGATGTGGAGCTCAAGCACGGTAAAGAAAGGGGTTTATGGAGTTGTGCAACCTACAGAATGCACATCTGAACACCCATCATCAAGGACAAAGCCCTTATAACAGCTTCTGACCCCAGCAGCCAAAATCCCTGGCACCTTTCCATCTCCAGCAGTCCATACAGATGAGCTGAGATGATTCCCAGAATGGTTTTGGTTAAAGGGACCCTAAAGCTGATACAGTCCCACCCCCAGCCATGGCAGGGACACCTCCCACTATCCCAGGGTGCCCCAAGTCCTGTCCAACCTGGCCATGGACACTGCCAGGGATGGAGCAGCCACAGCTTCTCTGGGAAACCTGTGCCAGGGCCTCAGCACCCTCACAGGAAGGAAGTCCTTCTTAATATCTAATTTAAAGTGGAAGAGAAATCATGTATTATTCCCCTAATGTGTTGAAAAACACATGAACACGTATAGAACTCTTGTCCCTCTGACATGAGGGTTGCCCCTTTCAACAGACAAAAATTAAGAAAACACTAGAATCAATCATCTAGTATAGTAAACCAATCTGGGGAGGATGCCCAAAATCTTAAAATACAAACCTTGGAGTATTGTGAGCTAGGAAATTGTAATTTTTCAAATAATCCCCTGCTTTTGCACTAGCTGGTGAGCTGGCTCCCATGTCGACTAGATTAAGAGTTTTCCATCCATCAGTAGTTAAACTGAAACTATTCTGTGCTACAAAATTGCTGTTCTATCTCCAAGCCAATTTTTGGAACTGCAAAGATGTCTTTTTTCAAAATAATCCCGTTTTTCATCCTTGTGTTGTTATTTTTTTTAGATCAGCACATATTACTCAAAGCTGTTTTTCCAAAGTAATTCCAAGCCCATAACCGTGTTTTAATTTCCTGTAGCACTCGCTGGAACATGAAGCCAAACAGACAGACAGACAGACAAATCCTGGAGAGCAATTCAGCTTAAAGATGGTTGTTCTATAGCAACTCCATCCCTATCGTCCCTAATGAGGTGACTCAGGCTTGAAAGTAGGAGCAAATTCATGTCCCAAAAGAGGTGACAGACATCAAACCACGAGGCACACCCCCACACACCCCTTTAGAGGGTGCTCCTATAATTTCAGCATTCAGCCACATTTTAGCTCAGACAGACAGTACCTTTCCTGCTTTTTATGTATACACTGCCAACTTGTAACAAGATCCATCACTGGCACTGACATATTTTAGTAATTTTTTTATATCAGATGCTTTCCCTATAATCAGTCCCCCAAACACGCAGTTTAACTGTGATTAATTCTCATGCAAATGGTATTATTACTGTGTCCTCCTTGTTTAACACCACACAGGCTAAAGTAAAATTATGGGGTAACAGCACAGAAACTGATATTAGTCAGAAGCTGCCTAAAGGAAGGGCTGGACATCTGTCACATTCCTGGGACAATAAATGAATACTGATTGTTCCTACTCAGGAAAATTGTTGTCCCTCCCCATTTTGAGCTACAATGGTGCTTCTATTCCCCACTTTCCAGACATGTCTTCTCTCAGTTTTTCTGTCCTGTGACTTAACTGGATTTAATACTTGCTGGGTACATCAGTTACAACATCACAGCATTCCCACTGTCCCAGGGATTTCTAGTGAACAAAAACAAGACAAGCACCTTGGCCAAACTGCTTCAGGTGGAACATGTTCACTGAAATGGAACCACAACCAATCTCAATCTGCCTCTTGGGACATTAAGAACGGTGATGTAGGTTGCATAATCTCTTAGTTGCTGGATTATTTCACTGCTAAAAATTGATTTAATCACTCAGAGTTTGCTTAGGATCTCTGGCTGAGTGCATGCATTTTCTCTCCCCCTCCTGCCTCTGTTTAAATCATGAAGTGCAACACGCAAGAGGCATCAATATCTCCAGTTTCCTTTGGCACTCAGACCCAGCTTTGCTCCCAAAAAGAACTGAGTTTACCTCCTCACACCCTCCTCAGTCTGAGCAAGCTCCCTAATTTAGTGCAAAAGAGGAAATTAAGTAGGGCTGCAAGGCATGCCTGCCATGAAACAGTCAGCAGTGGCCAGATTTTTATTTTAATTGACATTTCAGTTGTACAGAGTTGATATTTCAACTCCACAGGAAACCAGAATTGCAGCAAGTCAGACTGTGGTCAGAAGCACAGGTAGGGCTTAGGTGGCATTTACTCTGGGTACACAAGAGCTAAAAGGGACCCAAGCCTTCTGCTTTTAACGAGGCTGTTACATTTTTCTCAAGAGAAATTAGAGTTAATTTATTTGGATTCTTCTGCATCTCAGGAAAAGTGTATTTTGCAGCAGAGAAGAACACTCCAATGGCGCACAGCACATCCACAGGAGTCAGAGGCACTCAGCACCTCTCTGAATCAGGCTCCACAAACAAGAGATAGGGCAGGGTAAGCTGCAACAGACCTTGCAGAAGCACACAGTCACACAAGGACTTTCACTTCATCCTCACATCACGCCCTCCATGGCCATTTCTCTTTGGTCAGCATTTCCTGTGCCTGCCAAGGTTTCCATTCCACTGAGACAAGTCTAAACCCCACCACGTTTGGGTTACTGGGGCACAGGTTATGGTGCAGCTCCCTGAAATCTTCTGCTGAAAATACCACACCCAGCTGTACCAAAACTGGACTGGGACAAAACTGCTCTGCCTGGCTGTGCAATGCCCCCCAAAGGAACATTTGCTCCCTGATGCTGTTGCAGTTCAGATCACTCTCTGGACATTGCTGGCAATGGTTCATCTTTTGGACAGAAAGATCATTGGGGTGTTTGATTTGCAGTACAGTGGACTGCACTGGAAATCTGTCCTACCTGCATCTCTCAGAGCTACTTTTTTCATCATCCATCCTTTAGAAATAGCTCTGTGTATGAGCAGCCTCATCACCCCCAGGGGCTCCTCAGAGGCTGTACACCAGCCACAGGGTCTGCTCACATGGCAGCAGGTACAAACTGCAGCCTGAACTCAGGTCTGCATGCTTTTGTTTGCACAGACCGTCCCAAGGGAACAAGAGAGGCATTCATGGTACTCAATCTGGACTACTGAGCCCTCATGCATGAGCTTCACACAAGACCCACCTTCTCTGCCATTCCCTTCCTTCCTTCTGCTTCTACCACCACCCTCCCATTCTAACAGCACAACCTTCCTCTCTGCAGTGTTCCCCTCGGTCCTCAGCTCCCGGCGTTCCCAGGTTCCCCCTCCTGCACTCCCCTGTTCCCACACTCACCAGCTGCCTCTTGACACTCAGCCAGTTCTTCCAGAGCAGGATCCTGAGGTGCTGGGAGAGCGCAGCCATCCTTGGCTCGCCTGACCGAAAGAGAGGGGGCTGCGTGTTCCTCCTCCCCGCGCTTAGGAGGCAAAAGTGGAAGCTCTAACCCAGAAGGGCATCCAGTGTCCGAAATCCAGGCCTCTGCCTCTTCCCCACAGCATAGCTCTGAAGCAGCTACTCCATCCACTTGTGGCTGCTGTACTCCCAGGAATTGTGGCTCTTGTCCTCACAGCAATAGCTCCTAGCAAATTCAACAGGTTCTTCCTCTCCGGGCGGGCGGGTAGATGCAGCAGCCTGCCTCCACTTGTGTTAATTACAATATCCAGCCTCTCCTGGATGCTCCCTGTCCAAGCCCTAACCGATAAAATGGATAGCATTCCAAAAAGATGCTTCTGCTTAAACAAAAGGTGATGCATGCCTCCTCCTCCCCATGATGAAACTCCCCGTCGGCCCACACAGCGCTTCTGCTGGAGAGGTGTCATCAGCTGCAGAGTTAGGCCACTTGCCAGGCCAGTCTGACTTCCCCAAGTTCACAGGGAATGGCTGGGAAGAAAGCATCCACAGCCACAGCATGCATCTTCCTGCCATTGCTGATTTGGAGTTAGGGGGGTTTGAATACTTCTGAATGTCTCAATTAGACCTACCCATCCAAGTAAATTAAATGAAAGAGGTGAAAAATCTCAGGGTCTGAGCTGACTGCTTGGTTTCCTGCATCTTCCCTTTCCTCCAGGAAATCAGTCCTGGGGCTCTCACTGACTGATTTCCATGAAACACACCAAGTCCCCTGAGAATGGATCAGATTTCACAAGATTTCAGAGCGCTAGTGTGGCTAGTGGTACCTAAAAAGAGCAGCCAGAGATGAGAGGAAAGAGAAAAGGCAGGTACAGAGGGAAGCAATGACAACACAGGGAAGAGCTCATTGCACAAAAGGACCAGCATAAATCTGAACCATGGATTTGTCTGATGGTCAGCTGGAAGAGCTCTGGTCCCCCTCAGGTGTCTGGTGACATCGAGACCATCCTTGATGCACTTGGCAAACAACAGAAGACATCACTGTTCTCAGCATATTCCACAAAACATATCCAAAAACATTCCTGTTCTTGGCATTTGTTTCAGCCACAAACTAACTTTGGGCCTCAAAAATTAAAACCATCTTGAAGGAGTCCTTGCCAAACTCCACCCAGGGATTGGAGTGGAGGTGGCAGCAGAGGAGTTTTGATCCAAGGCTTGCTGAAAGCACCGAAAGAAGAGAGCAAGAGAGAGATGTTGTACTTGGTGAAGAGAAAACAGCTTCTCTGGATTGGTGAGGAGGCACTGCAAAGGTGAGAATGGCAACAGGTCCAGAGTAGTCCCTGCCCCACATACCTTCAGTCTAAATAGATTGGACATTCCAATGGTGGGAGTGAAGCTGGAGCTAAAATTAACCTAAAAGGCTTCCCTGGTATCGTTTTAACACCAATGAGAAGAAACTGAAATGTCTAACCTGCCAGCTCAACATTCCTTTTTTTTTCTCTACTAAATATCCTTAGGAGGGAGAGGGATCTCATTTGGGTCTGGGAGTTGAGAACAAGCACTGCTCCTTGGGACATTGTTCTAATTCAGCTCCACATAGGCACAGCCAGATTCACTGCATTTGGTCCAAACATGATTTGCAAACTTCATTCACTTCCTCTCTGGGGCTGAAAAAAGAAATCCAAATATAGATAATTCTGCTCTGAGGGGGTAAGAGAGAAGAAATTTATAATTTCACCATTCACTGCCTTGCCAAGGCCTTCTAAGGCAAGTGTCTGATTGCTTCTTTTTGGTATTCAGTCAAACAACTGTTTCAAAAGAGCACCATGATTTGGATAATAATTTTCCCAAGCAAATGCACATCCTTACTTCCTTTGTGAACTGAGTCAACAAACATTCCCCTTGGGAAGTACCCAAAGGATAATTTGTTCGAGATCACCACTGTAAAATCAGAATAACTCAATGTCAGTTGGCTCTCAGAGCACCTGCATTCAACTCCCCAAACAACACAGCATTCCCGTTCCAGAAGATGAGAACTTTATTAAACCATTATACTCTTCTGCTTTTTAATTCCTTCACTTAATAATTCCTGCAGATGGCACAGGAGCCTGTGGACAAAGTGACCAGAGCAGGAACATGTCCCAGTGTGCCAGTGTGCAAATAGCCAAAGGGAGAAAGGAGGGAAAGGCCAATTTTTTCTCCAATACATCCTCAGCTGGTTTATTCCTCTGGTTGAACATCCAGGGCTCTTCTGGGCTGAAGGGCAAACCCACTGAGGGGTGGTTCAGATCACTGAGAAGAAAAGCAGCATCTGTTTCTGTGCCCATGGAGCTGAGGAAGCTCTCAGGGGAGCTCTGAACTGTGATTTTATCCACTAGAAATGATTAGAGCCATGATTCATCGCCTGTACTGCAGTGGTGGCTGCAGCTCACATCACCCTGCAGGGGCTGCAGCTTCCAGGGCAGGAAGACTCGCCCCACACAGCCAGAACTCACAGACTTTCCTTGGGATGCTCTTCCAAGTAGAGGAGTTTTTATTTCAGCAGCAATGAATGCTTCCCAAGTGTGCCCAGTTACCTCTGTGAGAAATGAAAACTGAGGCAAGTGATGCAAGACCATAAAATAAAGCCCAGGAGTGACTGATCTGCAAGAGAGCTGAAAACATTCTTGCAGGAGGACACGTCCTTACGGTCCAGACGTGTCAGGGCTGGCAGCTGAGTGCCACAGGCAGCAGCAAGGCAGGGATCCATGAACAGAGTAAACCTGTGTGGAGGAGCTGCTGCACAGGGTCAGTCAGGGGGTGCTGGGAGCCCTCTCCAGCCCTAACACAGCAGGGGGATGAGAAGAAATGGCCACACTTATCGTTCATCCTGGCCAAAATGACAGGTCCACACAGCAGCACCAGAAAATGCAGCTGTCTGCTCGTGAACACTCCTGGCTTGGCTGTGAAATACAAGGGGGGTTGGATCAAACCTGACAGGGAAGAGTATTTACCCCCTTGAAGTCAGTCTCTGTACCTGGGATTTTTGAAAAATACCTGTGGATGTGGCATTTGGGGACGTGGTGGCTGAGGTGAACGTGGCGGTGGCTGCAGAGATGTTTGGACTTTGAGGTCTTTTCCAACCTCACCAATTTCATGATTCTAACATCACGTGCCCTTGCAGCACCAAGGAAGGTAAAATTTGAAAGTCTGTAACTAATTTAAAGCCCTGCCCCCATCATGGGTAGAGCAGCAGTTGCCTGAGGACTTGCCAGCATTAGGCAACACAGTGCACAGCACTGGATGATGCTGCAGTGGTGTAAGACAAACTGAACCACCACCTGAGAAAGGACAAAAAAAGGCTTTTGTTGAGCAGCCCACGGCCTTCCACAGGAGTGGCTGCACATACTACCTGGGAATTGCTCCTAGTTCCTTCCAGTGGCATGGCAGGAGCCTGGAAATGCAAATTTCTGCACATTTCCAGGGTGCCTAAATTCAAGATACAGTTTTGAGAGAGATGCTGACTCAGCATTATAAAAAAAAACCCAAAAACAACCAAACCAAACACCAAAAAAAACCCATTTAGAACACTCAGAAAAAGTAAAATGTTCACCACTATTTATTTTATTTTTCACTGTGAAACTGCAGCTGATAGAGCACTACCACAGTGTCACTCTGCCACCAAACACATTTCCACTATTTATCAGTGATTTTTCCTCCCCAGTAAAATGCATATGCAAAGCAGCCCCTCCTGGAAGCAGTTGTCCCTCGAGTGGTCTGTCACTGTCACCAATACAAGGATTATATCACACAAATTTATTTATATATTATAGAATTATATGCCACAAAAAAGTCAAGGAGAACTGTGCAGCTGATCTTTGGCTCAAAGTTCTTGGACATTAACTCCTTCTTCTTGCAAAGCAGCCTTGTTTCCAACAAGAACAAGCCCCCAGACCAACTGGATACTCTGATATCAGAGCAGATAAGCATGAAAGTAAATTTCATTTTAGCCCAAGTCCAAGCTTCCTGCAAATGAATTAGAGCTGAAATATCTGGGACAGGATTTGCAGAGCTCATCATTGGGGTTTTTCCTCTTATGTCAACAACTCTCTGCTGGAGCAGATTTAGGAAAGGGCAAGGAAATGCAACTTTTGGTTTTGAAGCTATGGTGCCTCTGTTCAGAAGTGCCCAGCCAGTCTTTCACCCCACTCCTTCGCTCCCAAGGTCACCTTCAGCCACATCTGGTCCTAGCAAACCTACAGGTGCATGAATCATTTCCCACCACGCCCAGCACTGAGGGCTGGATTTGTGAGGCTCCCACACGCACACCTGCCTTGCCACAGGTTTAACTCAAAGGTGTCACACTCCCCCTTTTCCAGTGGTTACAAACTCCTGGGATACCACTGAAATCAAACCAGCCCAGCAATGCACAGTTCTTCAGAGTATGCAGTGAAGCCACTAGCTTGGGGTTTATTGTGCTCACACAGTTATGGGTGGGATCTGCTTACTAAAACTCTTTCTCCAAAGTCTTATTCTTGGGCCCAGGGTCCAGCTCCCAATCGACACAAACCCACTGAATCCCAAAGCTGGAGCAAGTGGGTGTATGGGCATTTCATTAGGATGTTCTTTAACCCTTCCTTCAGATCATTAACAATGTTAAACCCAGACCTGATGCCAACAAGAGATGGCTACCGGTGTCCAAATCCTGACATTTCTCATTTATCATTCTTTGTGCTTTCAGCTGGTTTCCAGTCTGCCAGCAACGCTCCTGTCCCACCACGTGAGCCTGGACAGCTGACAGATGGACTAATTAGGGATCACACTATTCATGGCAAGGCTGATAACAAGGTCAAAGCAAGGTCACTGTGAAAAATAGATTTGACTTTGCGAAGAACAATTGGTATTTCCAAGGCTGGGCACAACTTGTGCTTTCCAAACCAAACTGTCAGCAAAAGTGCCCAAAAAGCCTCCAACAAAACAGATTCCAAGTCAAGAGGCGTAGGAACAGACTGTAAGGATAAGGAAACACAGAAGCAGGATGTGCTTGGGACAACAGCTGTATTAGGGTGGGCTGTTCTGTAGGCAATGGAAACATATTTCCTGAAAGATTCAAATTGTATCAAATTAAAAATTAACAACATTTTCACATCAAAGGAAGTTAAACTCTCAGCCATGTGGATTTAGTAAAGGCTTTTCTCTGTGTTCCAAAATGCAGTGGTTTGACCCAGCATCCATAATCATGTAAAAAACAGGAAAAAACGTATTTTTTATTATATTTTGATAATGATATGATGGGATAACAAAACACCTGCTTAAAGGTTTGCTCAAATTTAGCAACTGAGTTGTGAGCAATGT